AGAGGAAGAGGAAGAGGAGGACGAATTTCGGAGGAAGGAAAGAAAAAGGTTGAGAAAATGAATTTTTCAACTTTTCAAGTATCGGGAATAGAGAAGGAGGGTGAATATAGGTGGCGTAAGTAAAAAAATAATAACTGAGGTTTAAATATTTAAATTTTTATTTATATTTTTTACTACATAATAATACATTATATATGATTGAATGAGAAATTATAAGATTTCGGAGATATTCGCTCGCAATCAGTTTTATCGAATTATCCGCGACCAGTTTGGTTTCAACCGTTAAACACGCGAGAAAGTATACGTAAAAAAATACGCGCGTCCGTTAATATCGGCGGGAGATTTTGCCTGAAGTTTTTGACTTATTAGGAAACGACTTGGCAATTGCCTGCGCTCGGTGTGCTCGTCGTTTCGACGCTAGACAGAGATGATTCTTTCTCGTCGTTCCTCGATGCAATTTCCAGTCTGCTCGGCGCACCTGCCGGATTTTTTGTAACCCTGGTTCCGATATCCCATTCCCGTTAACCTCAACATTCTATCCGATCGGTCCGGATAGAAGGTATGACCGGTGGTGTCAATCGTGTTTTCTCCGATTGTCCTTGCGCGCATAGTTATCGCCGGTGAAACGATCCTTTCTCTCTCGGTCCATTGGTACTCTAGCCGTACTCTTCGAATAAACAACTTACCGGGCCTATCCGACGCTCATCTATCGAGACTGTTTCGTCGCTAGTTTCTTAATACTACCACCCAGTTGTGTTACTAGTTTACCGTCTAGCGTACACGCGAGGCGTACCTGACTCGCCTGACGCGTGACGAGTAATAAATGTCGGACAATGAAGATAAGCTCGGCCCGCGAGCGCCTCCTAGCTTTCGCGACAATAATACGTCCTGTCCGCGTTCCAAAGGCTTAACGGATTTTGCGATCCGTCCGATAGAGAGTGCGAAAAGTGAGAGGAGAGAAACTTGCTTGTCGCTTGACATTGCTCGTGCTTGATAATGAGTGTTTGCTCTTTGTTGGCTCAAGGCCCCAACTCCCCTACGAACCGGTCATCTGCGCGTACCGTCGGGCACAAATATTATTCCACGTATCGTCGTGTGACGGCCAAGGATGGTAGGTCAAGGTACACCTAGTCGTTCTTCGTCATTTCCGACACGAGGTTATATCTTAAACTTCCTGTCTTTCTCTGTTACACTAGGCGGCAAGCTGCTGCAAAATGAGAGCGATTCGAGCGTTCTGAATAAAAAATTTTGTCGTCGCAATGACAGCTCGAATTATTCAACGCTTGTGAAACGAGAGAGAGAGAGAGAGAGAGGGTAAAATAAAGGGTGAAATACGTTTTCGGGTCGCCCTTACTTCAGCCATTTTCGGCACAGTAAACTCTAGCGGAACGCTGTTAAGACGAGCAATGAAAAAAGAAAGAAGAGAAACGTACATCAACGTCGTTAAATTCGCCCGTACGTTTCATTAATTAGATTGCGCGTTTAATAAACAAAGTGGATTTACCGGAAACCGAAGGAGAACGTGCCGTCGCGTCTAAATTCTATCGGTGCGGCGAATTCGTCGCTGAGGGGTTATCGAATGATCGCCGGGGAATCCGCGGGGGGATTCGCGGCGAAAGGTTCCCCTAGAAAGGCGGCCCACGCGTAGTGCCGGCTTGAAGAGCCGAAGGCCGTGTCGCTCGTAAATTTTCGAGTCGGCGAGGGGTGAAAAAGCCAGCGGGCCAGGACGAGCCTATTTCGTGCGTAAAGATGGTTTTTCGCGGGGGTCGCGACCTTGCCACGTGGCGCGAGAGGGACAGAGAGAGAAAGAGGGGGGGGGGAGAGAGAGAGAGAGAGAGAGAGAGAGAGTTGAGCGTGACGAGGCCGAAAGGCGTAGGTCGATAGGGTAGGCATTCGAAGGACAAAAGTGCGTTAACCCGGAAGAGCGCCGCGAAGGATAAGGAGGCTCGAGGAGCGCTTCGCCGCGCGCTCCTCTCCTCGCGAGCAAGTTGGCGCTACGACGCCAGAGTCCGTGCGCGCGAATCATCGTTCCGAAGGTGACGAGCGTGAACCACCACGCTCTTCTCCTCTTTAACGCGTCGACTGCCACGCGCGCTCGTGTCCATTCATTGTTTCAGCGCTCGGCTAAAATTTTCATCGTCCGGCATATGACGATCAATAAGTGTAATTTGTACGCCACGCGTGTATATTCGTTTCATATTTAATTCGTTGCGTGCTGTTATTTGTACGCCTCTCATTAATTTACGTTTTGCACATTAATTAGCGAAACGCGTGAGTATTGTTGAGCCGGCGACAGCGACCTTCGCGGTGACGTATATTAAAAGGAAGGAAAGAAAAAATCAATAACAATCTGCTCGCTTCATCGGGGATTCCCGGCCGAGATGTCGATCCGCGCGCGATCCTCGCGCGATCGCGACGCATCTCCGCGGTTCTCAAGCCGGAAAATCACGCGCGCGCGCGCGCGCGACGAGAACGAGCACGATGCTCGGCAGTGACGACGCGACTGCGAGACGGCTTCGGCGGCGGCGGCGGCTGCTGTTGTCCGGAGAATGCGCGCTGTCCCTGGGCAAGCGGAGTACATTCCCAGACTGTGTTTTAGCCTCCAGGACGCCCTCGCGCTACGAGCCGCTCCCCTTCGCTCCCCACGCTTCCGCCCTTGGTTCCACGCATAAAAGCCCTCTCGTGCGCGCCGCGTCTCGGTCAAAGGAGTGCGTTTCAAGGTCCAGCCGAGATCGCGGACACATCCGCGACGAGGCCAGCATCCCCCTTCCTCCTCCTTCTTCCTTTTTCTTTTTTTAACGTCGCTCTGCTCTCCCCCGCACCGGCGCGTTTGATAACGATGCGACGAATGCTGCTGCTGCTCCTCCATTGACCGTCGCGCGAAATGTCCAATATCCGCTGTGACACCCGCCGGTCCTTTCTTCTTTATCCCTCGCCGCGCCTCATCGCCCAGCGGAGCGGAGCCGCTGCGCCAACAGATAGAGAGGCCTGGCGAGAACGAATGCCGGGCGCTTCCGAGGGAATCGCGACTTGATATCTCGCTCTCAATTATACCGTGCACGATACGCGACGCAAGATAGATGAAGATATATACGCGTGGGTTAACGGGCGACCTTCGACAGAGCGAGCTCTGTGTGCGCGACGGTTTTATTGTTTGCGGACGGCTCCTTGTCGATCTCCGCCCGCGACGTCGGCCGTCTCTTTTTGCCGTTTAATCCGCGGCCGCGAACGGCCGGGGGATAACCCGAGAGGACGAGAGAGAGACAGACAGACAGAGAGAGAGAGAGAGAGAGAGAGAGAGAGAAAGGGATAGGCGGAGAGAGACGTCTGCGCGAGAGAATTAACGCGGATTAACGGCCGCGTACCAGACGCACAATGTGACCGATAATGAGCGTACGGTAGATCGAACTGGCGTCAATTTAGCCGCGTTGCGCCAACCTCCGTTGTATGTAGCAAACAGAGTAATGTAACATAGCGGGCACGCAGAGCCGAAGCCTGTGGAATCTGAGACGCGAGCGGCGCAAAACGTAACGTCACTTGTTACCGTAATCGGAGGCTAAACGGCATCCTCTTGTGGACCGCTCTTGGCGCGCTGGAATTTGAACGAAACGACCACGAGACGGAGAGAGAGAGAGAGAGAGAGAGAGAGAGAGAGAGAGAGAGAGAGAGAGAGAGAGAGAGAGAGAGAGAGAGAGAGAGAGAGAGAGAGCGGACTCTGATCTCTCTAATCCATTTCATCCCCGATTTAACCGTTATCGCCGTGGCGATGTTAATTGGCCTCTGGATCGAAATACAACGCCCTCGCGTGGCACGACGACAGCGGCGGAGCAGAGTATCGTCAGCATACGGCAGCCGACTTGGTCATGGCGAAGTGCAGAGTTCACGATAGGACAGTTAACGTTGAAGCGAGGGACGAAGGGTTGCGTGGCAACCGACGCCCACGGTGCGCCACGCGCCTCCACCGTAGGTGTTTACGCGAGCGCGCTGTGACCGTCCGCTCCTCTCTCTCTCTCTCCCCGCCCCCCTTCCCCCTCTGTCTTTCTCTTACAGGCCGCCACTTTGTCGTGGGTGGATTTGGAATGGTAGAGCGGCGAGGGGAATCCTCGCCGCGGAAAGCTCGGGAAAGCAATTACACAACGGGGAAACGTCATCGCTGCGAACGTCGTGATTAAATCTCGCTGTTGGATGCGCCATCGAGATTGGATTCCTTTTGCCTTTTGCGTTTTTCTGCCTTCTCATCACACGCCTCGCTAGTGTGAATAATTATTGTTTTCATACGACTGGTCGTCGCGCGGCTCGCTCTCGGCCGAAGCGATTATAATATGAAATCTTCGCTTAACTTCCGCGTGACAGAGAGACACACTCGCCCGACCCGCGACTCGGTGTCCTTCTCGATAGCGCGTCCAAAAATTCCGATCGCGCGCTCGTATCTAAATACTTACCAAGGCTGAGCAAAAGTTCAAGGTACCGCTGAAAAAGAAGGAAGTGTGCACAGACGCGCGCCGAGACGGCCGGCGTAAAGGCGCAATACGGCATAATTTTTACAGCGAAATGATACAAATTCTCTCTCTCTCTCTCTCTCTCTCTTAGGAATATTATAAATATTTGTTGCAAATAATTTTCGAAAATGTCTCTTGAAATTGCGAATTTTCAATGTACGATTACGCAATCTCAATTTCATGTCGACGACGAGCCTTTGCGCGTCATGTCCGCGTAGTTTGTCTCTGGTTGGTGCTACGTGCCTTTTCCAAAGTAGTACCGACCCTAGTTCGATGAATCACAACGAAAGACTAAAGAAAGAAAGAAAGAAAGAAAGAAAGAAAGAATCATCGAGGAGTAAGGTTCCCAAAGATCCTCGACAGGTAAGGACAGGATCATTGGATTTCAGCTCTTGGGAGGATTCGATAGATTAGAGATAAATAACGAGAGACGAGATTTTGTTTTATGTATAATTCACCAGACAATGTTTATTCAGACGACCTCACAACTCCCAAGCGTACAAAATGACGTGCTCACTGGGCAATATGCGGGGCTGCATTTGTATTCTTGCATGTAGTAGAGTACGTTTTATCCATATTATTTCGTTTTTTTCCACCAGAAACAACAGCTGTTTGTATTCTCCTTCTTAATGGATAGGGAAATATATCATATTTTATGTATCGTTTACTATAATAATCATTATGTGTAGTTTATGCATAACAAGTATTACGAATATCAACGCTAGGTTGTCTGCGGGGAAAGGGACAAGACAAGTGTTCGTACCGTGTATATGTGTGCAAAAGATGTGTGTCACTGCCGTATGTATGCGCGCGCGCGCGCGTGTGTGTGTGTATGTGTGCGCGCGAGTGAGTGAGTGAGTGAGTGAGTGAGTATCTGATGTATGTGTCAGTTGTCTTGTAAGGACAGCCAGGAAAGGATTCTACTCGAGGGTTCGCTCGGACAAACAGGTGGACGCGCGATACACGCGGCACGGCAAAGGAGATACGTTTTGGATACAATAAATACAGATAGGCTTCTAAGCTTGGAGGTGTGTATGTGTGTGTGTGTGTGTGTATGTGTGTATTTAGGAATATATCTTCGGGCTAAAGGGCTAATACTCCACAGCCGGGAGACTGAATGTGCTTTCTTCGACGACCTCTGTGTTCCAGGTCCGGGGCTAGATACCCTTTTAATCCGACCGAATTTTCATCGTGACTCACTTTCTCCTTTCGAGCCGAACCGACATGTAGGGGATGGGGAGGGGAGGAGTATCTAGTTCGCGTCGGAAGGAGGCCGTAAGTGAGTTTTCTACGACTGTTTCAAGAACAGTTTACTCGCTCGCAACTCAACGTGTGTATGTGTGTGTGTTTGTTGCGGATGTGTACGCGTGTTTTTGTTTCCGATGCGATATTCATGCTAGGATTGAGGAGGAGGAGTGATATCGGGGTGATTGGGGGTGGTTAGGGCTGGAGTGCGTACGGGGGCGGGCGTCTCAACAACACGTCAGCAGCGGCCCGCCGCGTATCTTCTAACTTTCCCTCGAGATTTTTTTCGAAGCAGAAGAGGTTCATTCGCGCCTACCAGGACATAGTCTTACGAATCTACTATTTACACTGCGCTTTGCCGTTCTATCGGAGCTCCGCTTTGCTCGAATGCTTCGCGGTTTCTTTCTCTATCTTCTCCCCTCTCTCTCTCTCTCTTTTTCTCTATCTCTTCTCTTTCTTCTCTCCTCCTCTCCTTTCCTTCTCACATCTCGCTTTCTCTTTCGCGACTCTGTTCACGAGCTATCCGTTCGACTTTCATGCATGCACACACGACACATAATATTGTATAACGCGTTTAAGCGGGCCTACGATACCTATATCTCGCTATATACGGCGCGATTAAAGGATATAATTACTTCGCGAGTCGTTTCCCCGACGAAGAGAGAGACACGACACGTAGTATAAAGGTACGGTAATTGCAAACTGGTGGCCCGCGGCGGGCCGATCAGTCTCATAACAAAACGCTTAAATGTTGAAAATCGCGTGCGCGATTCCGTTTCTCGGTTGCCACCGCGATTCGAGAAGCTTTTCGATTTGCCCCGATTCATTTGCACAAGCACGCTCACTCGTCCACTCGCGCTATCTGTCTCTTTCTCGCTTCCTCTCTCTCTCTCTCTCTCTCTCTCTCTCTCTCTCTCTCTCTCTCTCTCTCGCTCGCTCGCTCTCTCGTCATTCGTACAAAGGTGTCACACGCGTCTCCATCTACACACATACACGAAATGATAATTTGTTACGATTATGATACCTCTTACACATATTACAATAATATTAATTAGTTTTATAATATTCAATAATTATAATAGAGTACAGATGATCGATGAATGAGGTGGAGACTGTACAGGATGCGCGATTTCCATGATTATCACATGTAGATAGATTATTAATTTCTGTAACACTCAACCTTTCGTTTTTTATTTTTTTTTTCCGTCGTGGATGCTCTATCTCCTAGATGTACACCTAGAGCAGATAGGTTTTATTTTTTTTTTTTTTAGGTAGGTAGACAGGTAGGTAGGTAGGTAGTTTTAGGTGGATCGCTGGCTCCCCTACGCGGCAACACGGCGTTGCGCGTCCGCGGAATACGGCACTCGTCGCGCGCGAGCGTCCGATATTCTCTCTTCTCTTCTCTTTCTCTCTTTCTCTCCTTCTCTCTCTCTCTCTCTCTCTCTCTCTCTTTCTCCCTCTCCCTCTCCATGTCCCGTGTTGCTCATTTTTCTTTCGCACACTCGGGAAACTTTGCAACTCAACGCAACTCCGCGCCACTCCGTCGCGCCTGTCCGTCTTCCTCGTGAATATTGTACAGAGGCGATAGTGATACCTCTCGTCCGTTCGTTCGTCTCCATTCTCCTGCTGCTGCTCCTCCTCCCTCGGGCGAGAGCGATTAGCGGTTTGCTTTAAATTAATAAATTATTTGGTTTGTCACGCGCTCTGAGCGTCCTGGCACTTTCGTATCTATAGTCGAGGGGAGGGGGGGGTCGGGAAAGGTTGTACCGCGTTACCGCCGGCGCGAGCGCGCACCGGCCTTGTGGACAGGTGGATCATCGATCGAACGTTCCGATTTCCACGCGTCACGGGAGATCACTCGAGCACGCGAGAACACTACGCCTCGAGGGAGAGAGCCTTGCAGGGCCCAACCAGCGGTCTGGGTGATGGCGACGGCGACGGCGACTTTTTCGAGAGGTTCAACGGCTGCTGGCTGTCCGCGATGTCGACCTGCAGTTCCATCATGTTGCTGGGACAACCGGATAGGACCAGCGTGGCCGCCGTACTCGAGGTCGGCCTGGGACTCGTGCTCGTACTACTGGTTGCCGCCGCGGAGAGATACCTCGGCGACGAGGCCGGGGAGTTGCCAACAGCGAGGTAGTCTGAGGAAGACTGCTGTTGCTGTTGTTGTTGCTGCTGCTGCTGCTGCTGCTGCTGTTGCTGCTGCTGCTGCTGCTGCTGTTGTTGCTGTCGCGCACCCGTCGTCGTCGTGATGACCGAGGTAGCTGGCCATCTGGTCGAGTAGCTCGTGGTGGCGCATTGCAGGAGACCCTGAGATCCTTGCGTGGAGCGCGCCGTCACGGTGGTGGTCGACGCGCACTGTTCCGCGGGCGACGGTGAGGCCGCCGGTGATCTGGGACTGGCCTCGCCGTGCATTATAAAGTTGTGTATGATGTCGGTGCGCTTCAACTGCTCCGGAGTCATTCGCGGGCCCTCCATCAGACTCCTCGCGAGAGTGGAATGCGTGCTGCTGAGTAAACTCGCGGTCTGCTGGCATTGCACTTGCGCCGTCTGCGTGGCCGGTGGACTTCGCGCCGGTGGCGAGGTCAGGTGCAGGTGCAGCTGCGACTGCGTGTGCTGAACGACCACAGCCGGCTCTGCCTCGGCGCTGTCCTTCTGGCGCAAGGCGCGGAATTTCTTGTGCGGCTTGTAAGCCTCGTCCATCAGCGAATTGGTGTCGTATAACGGCGGCGCCTGCAACACGCGCTTCAGCACCGGCATATCCTCGACCTCCTTGTCCTCCGAGCGCGGGCTCGAGCACACGGACGTGGGTGCGCTGCTGGCGCTGCTGCTGGCCGGTTTGTCCGGCTTCTCGGTGCCGGACTCGATCCCGCTGTCGCTCGGCGAGTCCAGCTTGCGGAAGCGCGGACACTGCGGCGGCTGGGGTGTCTTGGACATGGCTGAGCGGTGAAGCTCGTCGTCGCCGGAGCTGGTGCTGCCCGAATTGGCTCGTAGTCTGTGCGGGCACAGTCCACCGGCCAGGGTAGCCGCCAGAAGAGGCGCGCTCGACGCGTGATGACTACTGGGCGGCGCGACGTGATGGTACTCGGTCAAAGAGGCGACTTCGCCGCTGCAGGTGCTCTCGGTGCTGGAGACGCTACCCAGTGGACTCTTGACTGCTTCGTCCAGGGTCACATCCGAGGCGGAGCTCCAAGATGCCGGTGGCTCCTCCTCCATTGGCCAGTGCGGCTGCTGCTGCTGCTGCTGCTGCTGTTGCTGCTGCTGTTGCTGCTGCTGCTGCTGCTGCTGCTGCTGCTGCTGAGCGGTAATGACATGCTGCGTCTGTTGTTGCTGCTGCTGCTGCTGTTGCTGCGTCTGTTGTTGTTGTTGTTGCTGCTGCTGCTGTTGCTGCTGCTGATGCTGTTGCTGAGCCTGCAACTGCTGCTGTTGCTCCGTCATCTTGAAGGCCAGTAGCTTTTCCGAGTGGAGAGTATTCAGAGTCCTGAGGTCGGGTATCTTCTTCAACAGCTCCCGCAGGATATCGGGATGCTGCGGGTGGTTCTGCGCCAGTACCGTTTGCAGGGCGTTTCGCAGTTTGTTGTGCATACGTTCGACCAGATCGGTATTGCGCAATCCGGGCCTGTCGGCGGCGATCACCACCACCGAGCAAAACAGTCCCAGTTCCGCGTCCGACAGTCCCAAGGAGTTGACCCTCTCGGCAAAGTCGAACATCGAGTCCATGAGGAATCGCGCGTTACTACTATTGTGGATGGACTCGCGTTTGAGCACCTGGCCATTCAGGCATATCATGCTGTTGGTTTGAGCATCGAACATGCAGGCCAGTCGTACGAGCAGCACCTCGAACACACCCGCCTTCAGTAGAGTGACCTGGTCGTCCTGAGCCAGCAGGCTGAATCCAGGTATGCGCTTGGCGAACTCTACGACGCCGCGTATGGCCGGCGAGAACCTCTTGGAGAAGTCCTGAAGCAATTCTTGCTGGCCGGTCAACGGCTGCGGATTAGGATTCAAGGGGCATGCCTGTAACAGAAGAAACGACATCCCGAGGTCAGGAGGCGACGAATCGTTAAACCGCGCCGAAGGTCGCCCACGTCGCCGCGTCGTTACTCGGAAGAACGTACCAGGCGTCCTCGCGAGACGAGGTGAGACGAAACGCGCGCACAACGACACGACACGACACGATACGATATGATGCGCCATCCGGAGCGGTGCGGCGCGGCGAGACGAGATGAGATGAGATGAGACGAGACGAGACGAGA